CCCCAATAGCCCCATCATCTCCGTCTAGGCCTAAGTGCCCCTGTCCTTTCCATCACGTCAAAGGCAGCAGGGCTGGCGTTCCCAAATTCAGTGCAACTTTGATTATCCAAACAGCACAGGGAACGCAAGTCAACTCTACGAGTGGAGGCGTCCATGAATTCTCATGGTAATGAACAGACCTCAGAGGTCATGCCCTTGTCCCCACCAGCAAAAAGGAGAGGGGAACCAGACAGCAAGGTTTCAGATAATCGAGGTTGTACATTTCAGCAAAATGACGGTAGGTGAATCTGAGATAGAGAGAGACAGAGAGACTCAAGCCTTTCCCAGCTCCCTGCCTTTCTGAGTAGGAAGGTACACCACATGACTGGCTAATCTGTTTACAAAGGAAAAAGCAGAAATCTGACATACTCTAGCAAAAGGCAGCTCCCTCTGATCCATTTGATGGTTTGTCAGCGAAAGGAAATGATTTTCAAAAAAAGAAAAAAGAAAGAAAAAATGCCCATCTAGCTCATACAATGATAAAAGAAATTCATGATGAAATGGCAGCAGATTAGATAATCTCAAAGAAATGGAAATGCTCCTCTGCTGGCAGAGTATTACTTGGGGAGCTGAAAGGGGGAAGGGAAGCAGGAGGTCATCAGGGTCCCCACAGAGAGACGCTGATAATGGAGTCAAATAAAGGAGCTCACTGAGTCCAGCTTGAAAAGGAGGAGCTGGTCTGCACTGGAAGTCCCTAGGGAGGTAAGCACAGCAGGAAAATGGTGCTTCCCGAATGGTGGATGAAGTTATAATTCCTCCTGGCAAGGACATGGGCTGATGGAGACCCCAAGCCAGAGCAAAGTTGCTGGCTCAAAACAGAATGTCAGTCAAGTGACAAACCCTGGGCAGGAAGCAAGTGCTCGCAGGTTCGCACAGCACTTCCAGCTAGGGAGGGGTACAGATGGGCAGATGGGACAGTGGGGGTGCCCTGATGGTCTGGCATGTTGGGCAGCAGTGCCAGCAACTGGGAAGGAGAAGCTGTGGAGCGGCCAAGCTTCCCACCATGCTGGAACAAGGATGAGCTGTCTGTCCCTACTCAAGCATGGGGGTTGCTCAGACTCACTGCACAGCAGGACATAATATCGTGTCAATATTTATTCAGGCAGTGGAACATCCCCTAGCAAAAACTGGTTTCTGGGCCATGAAGTGCTAATGACATTAGGATACATGGAAGCCATTCTCCACAAGGAAACACTCCTCCCAACAGGGATAGGAAATTGGCTGGGAGAGGCACTTTCCCCAGGAAGGGGGTGTCTGCAGGGAAATGAGGTGTTCTTCAGGGAAAAGCAGCAGCACCCACTCCCCACAGAGAAGCTGAACTCTTCAAGTAAATATACTATGACAAGAGGGGAAAGAACTACCCTGGAAAAGGGCAAATTCAGGACAATGGAGACATTCCAGATAGGGAGAGAGTAGGAAGTAATAGATAAGATTTTCAGTGTGAAGATCGCATTTTCCTGTTTCCTCACAGGCAGTGGGAGTATGGGTGTCTGTGAAGAAACAGGCAACCCACTGGATGCTAGACATCCCTGCAAAGATAGATGTACACAGGACAGCCAAGCTCCCTACCTAGGAAGGTGAAGCTCTAGGGAAAGTCTCTGGTATACAAAGGCCATGCTGAATCCCCTTCAAGAGGGGATGGAGAGACAGGGCTGCAGAGATTGTGCAGGAAAGCTGGGCTGCAGGGAATTTGCATGTGATGCTGCATGGAGTTAGCATGTCAGGGAAGTCTTTAGTGGGGTTCTCAGTCTCCCCGTAAGCAGTGGGGTGGGTTAGTCTACAGCGTTTGGGAGCTTGGTCCATGAGGGATGTTACAGTTATAAAAACGGATTGAAAATGCTTTGAAGTTTAGTTTGGATTTGAAAGTTGTATTACCCGTCCTAGCAGTAACTTTTAATTGTATCTCTGGAAATTGGTAAAATTGTCAGTCTGGCTGGGGAGGCATTGATTAAAACCTGAGAAAAGAAACAACAGAGAATGTGAGAAGAGCTGAAGTGAGAGAGAATTACTTACCTCAGCTGCTCTGCACGCTACTTACCTCCACTGTGCTGTCTGAGACCTTCTCCCCCAAATCCTTCTTGCCTTTGAAATAAAACAAAAGATCTCACTCATGAGGTCTGTACCTGTCAAGAGCTGGCCCTCATACTGTGGACTGGAAAGCTAAAGGGAGAGGTACAGGGCCAAACCAGGCTCTTGACTGCAAGAACAAATCCAGACCCTCTTGCAACATGATAGCTGCTTAGCGGGGTAGGGGGAGGCCCCTTTGGCATCCCATCCTTAGGTCCTGATCTCAGTGCTATTCTAGTGAGTTGGTAGCCGCTCACCTCTGCACTTGATTTTTGCTGGCATACAAGCCAAGGCATGAATGGGCACAAAGCCTTTGGTACAAAGAGGCTGGTCCAAACTGTTGGTGAAGAGGCTGGAGGAAGCTGATAGTGCAGTTACTGTGTTGCATCAGTTCGCAGAAGAAAGAGTGGACCAGGTTCTCCGGCAGATACCTATGCTCCATCAGTAACGCCTCTTTGCTAGAGGTTACAGCTACAGACTGCGTAATGAGACTTTAATGGCTTTTCTAGGGTATTATTTGAAGAATGCATATGTTCTCATATTTCCACTATTTGCCCAAGGCGAAAGGATACAAAACTCATCATTTCTTTTTGCAGTTATTCTCATAGGAACCAATGAGAACACATTTGCAAAGGCAGCACTGCTTGATCGAGAGAAGTTGGGTGTCCTCTTACCTGTTGGAGAGCCTTGCTTAGACTGCAGTTCCATCTGGGCTCCGTTGGTCCTTAATGAGAGAGTCTTTGCCCCTTGTTGTTTCTCTAGCTCCCCTGCAAGACAGACATAAGGAAGTGAATGAGGAGAGGGATGGAGGGAAGGACACAAGCATACTGAAGGAGCAATATGGGAAGTCAGCAAGGAGAATTAATGCAACAAAATGACAAGAGAGTGTCAAGAAGGGAGGGAGAGAGGAATGGGCAAGAAAAAACAGAAACTGGAGAGGACTTGACATGTGGGGGAACCTGTACATCTCCACACGACCTTCTATGTATGACCTGTGTTTATACAGAATAGGTTATTCCTATATGGGAGGGGACCACTGATGCTAGCTACTTTGGCTCTTCAGTTTATATATGGAAAGGCCATCAAAGGCTACATGGACACTGAACCTGTGTAAGACAGGCCACAGAGGGACACAGTACAGACTGCTTGTCCCCTAGACATTCCTAGAGTGAAGGACAACTCTGCTAAGGCTACCAGACCTGTCCTGTACTTCCCAGCTATCCACAGATCATATTTGCATAGTCAAAGGAGTATGGGATGGAGAAGAGTCTTCTGGGTCTGACAGTCTAAGCTTCACTATTTCAGGCCACGGTATCATACACCCTGTTTTGTAAGCATCATAAATAGTTAAGTTCTTCCACTTCTCCTGCTGGCGGGTGGTCACAGAGATTGACTGTTTTTTCACCCTGTCGGTGAACACAAGAACAATCCTGTGCAGACTCATGCTGCTCATCCTCTTTCCCCCTGTTCCTGAAGAACCCATTTCCTTTACCCTTTCTCCCTTGTGGACACATGCAGTGTGATGGCATTGGAGTGTGAACTGTATTAGAGGAACTTACATTCAATTCGTATCTGCTCCAGCTCTGTCACTTCTGCTATTGACTCTTTCAGATCTTCCACAAACTTCTGCATTTCCTCAGCACCCAGAGCACAGAAGTGTAGTACCTGTTTCTTCTCTGAGCCCGAAACTGGAGTCACCAGTGTGATGCCATGGGGGTAATCTGTAAGGAAGATGTGTCAACAAAATAAAGAGGCCCTAGGCATTCTTGCTGGAGTAGTTGGCTGCTTTGGTACTTCTGCAGGACAGAGTTTCCAACACGAGTCCAAAGGAATGGCACACCTAGAGTTTGTCACACTGCAAACTGTGGGAACCTGCAGCATTGCAGCCCTACAAGGGAACAGAATGGCTAAGTGGCAGCAGCAAGGCAAGTACCGCCAGCACCACAGTGCTGCCAAAACCAGAAAACTCTAGCTCTTAGGTACACTTAGTGCAACATTGGCTCTGGGAACCTGAGCACAGAGGTACGACTGTAAAGCCCTTCTGGATATGCGGAGGAGTAAACAGTATATATGAGAACCCAACATTACTTTTTCTCCTGTGGGAGACACAGCAGGAGAGGGTGGCTCCTGGAGTCAAAGCCAGAACAGCCATTAACATCCACAGTGACAGAACTTCTCCCCAGTCTCTACTTCCATCAGCAGAGAACATGGCAGGGGTGTTAGCAGAGCATGGGTGGGGAGATCGTTGTGCTGTGCAGAGAGAACGGTAAAGAGAAAGATGTGGGTTTGTAGGTCTCTGCTTAGTACCCACCAACAGGCAAATCACACAGCAATGTAAATGAAAGGAGTGAAAATATCACAACAAAAGGCCTTGTGTTTTAAAGATCAGGTTGGGTGCAAGGAGGTGGTGGCTGGAGATTCAGCCAACAGAAGGAGAACAAGAGTGTGCAGAGAACTTGCTACACTTGTGACTGGACTTTCTCTACCTTTTGTTCAATGGCCAGTGGTTTCAATCCCTTTTCTCCTTCCCTCTCACCTTTCTCTACATTTAATTTCTCTCTTGCCCTGTCCTGCTTTCGCTTCTCCTCCACTGCTCCTGCATCTGCCTGCCTTGCCCACCCTCTTCTTTTATCAGTTTTTACCAAACAAGTCAAAGGACCAACTTGCTGTTTGCTGCCAGCCCTCAGCTCCCCCCATTTGAGTTCCACACCCCTTTTCCCACCCTGTGTCCGTCTCATCTGTTCAGATCACAAGCTCTTTAGAACATCTGTTTTTCTGTTTCTGCAGAGGATACACAACGGGATGCCTTTGCCAGGAGATCCTTGGGCACTCCCAGGACAGTCATGATACACCTGAAAGCTGAACCCAGTTCTGATGGTGCCTCCTGAGGATGCTTGGTTATGAATGACTCTTTTGTACATACAGGGATGTGAAAGCCTCTGCATGCTGAAGAGGGTAGGGTGTTGAGAGTGACTCATGCTGCCCATAGGGTAGAGGGAGGATGTAAAAAACTTAGTATAGCCACAGTGCTGCTACAGTCTTCCTTCCTTGCAGCATGTTCTGCAGGTGCTCACAAAAACCCCAGTGGGCATCAGTCATGCTTGCCTGGGACTGCTGTGCAGCCCCTCTGCCTGTGCCAGCAGGAAGCCTGCCTGTTTCTGGAACTCCTCCACCACACAACCAGCCTCAATCATGACACATCATGGCTCTATTCCCAGACCATCAAGGTCAGGCTGACTAGGGCTGGCCTCTTGCCATGCTTTGGTGGGTGCTGTTCCAAGGGCTCTGCTTCTGTCTTGGGAAGCTTTCAGCATGGCACAGCATGGCACAGTGTGGGGAGGTGGCAGCAGCACCTGAGCCTTTATCAGTGTCAAAGGTAGAGGTGGGAGTTGTGACTTTGGGCATGAGGGGAGAGGGGCTAAAGCTGGCAGCATCAGTTTCATCAATGAGGTTCTCCGCCCACAGTTGGCTCCTGAGAGTTGTGAGATGTATCTGGGGACTGACTCCCTCATTCCTCCCCACTAATGATCTCTCTGCCACCATGACAAGCCAGATTCTTCATTGAGCTTGAGTTCAGACCTTCTGCAGGTGCTCAGACCTAGTGAGAAGTACCAGGAGCCTCTTCTCATCACACTGTACCTGCACAGTGATCTCCTCAGCACCAAACCTCAGTTTTCTCCCCTCCACTTTTAACCTTGATGGAATCTCTCTTCTGATGCAATCTCACACTGGGTGACACAGCCCCCTCCCTCCTCCTTTTCCCTGCGAAACCCCTCCAGGCAATCAAGGAGCAAAGGACTTACATTCATTCTCAAAGAGATGGAACTGCATCCCTAGCAGGCCGACTGACTTGCAAAATGTGTATGTTGAGGAGCTTTTCTTCTTGGGGCAAAGCTTGAGGATCTGTTGGAGGGAGAGATGCATCATTGGGCAGGGTGCTGGGGAACAGTGAGGCAAGAACAATGCAAACTGCTCAAAGCAGAAAAGGTTTTTGCAAGCTCTGTTAATTGTACATGGGAGTAACACTTGGTGATTGACAGGCTCTTTGCCCAGAAAGCTGCCTGGCATGTTGCACTTGTAACAACACTTCTGAAATTCTGTACGCATAGCCCTGGGGCCCACTCAGCTCTCTGTCTCCCAGGGGTGCTGGCTTTTTGATGCCCACATTTCTGACTTTGCAAGGGTAATTCTTTTCACCGAGGGCCAGATGAAAAGGCTAAGGGAAGTCTGTCAGAAATACCTTACAGCTGGGAACAAAAGCATATGTGAACGCTGCGCTGCCCTCGCTCCCTCAGCACTAGTTCTTATGGATCTGATTTATCCCATGGTGTAGAGGGACAGCAAGGAGCAGACCCTCTCCCCAGGTTCACAACTGTACAAATGAGTGCAGAGGAATAGAATCATAAAATTGTTTAGGTTGGAAGAGATCTTCAAGATCATCAAGTCCAACCATTAAATATAGGTGGGGAAAGCTCTCTTGTCCTCTGCTCCTACAAAAGGGTTTGGTTTTAGCCTTACATTTGCAACATCCACAGTTTCATTTTGCCATTAAATTCAGCAGAACTTCCATCTTCTTTGGCGTCCTTCCAGTCTCAGCATACCTCTGCCCTCCCTTGTGCCTGTCTGAACACAGTTGCAAGGTTGCTGGGGCAGGAGACTTTTAAAAGTACTATACACATTTGGCGCTCCAGTAAGTAATATCTACTCTCCTACAGCCTTTGCAATGTTAGAAGGCAGTGGTTTTAAAGTATGGCAGGAAACATTTAAAGTGCATGGCAGGGCTCTGTCTACTATAATACAGACAGACAAAGAAATGAACCTCCCTTTCATGAAATGAACCTCCCTGCTGGCAAAGGCATGAGAGAGAGCAATGACATTGATTGGATGGCTGTGGGATGTGACAGTTTGTTTTTCAAGGGTTAGAGGAGTTTTAGATTTGATAGGTTTTTAACAGTGAAGGATCCAGAGCTGTGTCTTACCATGTTGATGGACCAGGAGATGGTCTGTCCTTAGGACAGGGGGGAAGTGGATGTTGTGGACTGGTTTTAGATTTCTTTGTAGAAATCAGGGCGAGTTTTATCACTGCAGTACCTAATTGCCAGAGCACACTTACCACCAGCAGGTCATTGAAGAGAAAAACTTCCCTCTGGTGAGCTGCCTGCTTCTGGACTTTGTTCACATCAGTCACTTCGTACAAGCGGCTGCAGCAGACCAGCCGGCGATGGGGCACGGACAGAACCTGAAGAAGACCCACAAGAGCATGCAGGGGCTGAGGGAGGTGCTGTTGTGGGTGTCCCCCACCCTCAGCCTGCACAACCCCGCCCAGTGACAGTAGCACAAGCCAATTCTGCCCACTCTGCCCACTCAAATCGTGTCCTCACCACCACTCCTCACCATCACTTTTCCTGCTGGTGCAATAGCAGAGAGAGCTATGCCTTTGTGATCTAGATAAATCAGAGGAGTGGGACAGGCTATAGGCAACCCTCTTGCTCACACATCCTATCTTCATATACCTCTGGCTTCCAGTCACTGGGTGACTGTTCATCCTCTCTCACCCCACTGGACATCTGCAGGTTTCCTGGGCTTTGAGAAATTATGCTGCTCATTTTGGGAAGACAGTATGTATGCCTTTGCATTACAGATCGGTTACTGCTAAAGATGGTGTCTCTGCATTTGAAGGTCTCTTAACCCCAGCAATCCTTAGGGAACTCATTACAGACAGATGGGTGAAATTGTTTTCTATCACTTCCTACACCCTCACAAGACCTGAAAGTTTGAAACACTGCTGGGCTATCACTGGAGCATTGGAAGGCAGGACCTGCAACGAGATTCCTGGGCAAGCAATTACCACACCAGATACTGTAAACTCTGGCCAAGAAGATCCCCCAAAATCAGGAAAGAATGAGATCGCAAGGAAAAAGGTGTTTGGAGAAAAAGGAGTGAATTCATCAAGACAAGCAAGGAAAGTGTTACAGAAGAGGAGCAGGGGCATAGAGGAAAAAGGCAGAAAAGAGGGCCAGTGATGGAGGTGGGGGTGAAAGGGGTGATGGGTGCTAGCAGGGTTATGGGTGCTCACCGTTTTCATTCCAACTATGGACTTCTCCACTTTGGTGACGTAAGTCACATGGTCTTCATTGGATTTTAGCTCTTTTTGCTGGATCCTCTCGTAGATCCCCACCACCAGCTCCCGTGGGATGTCAGCACCATCGTCCACCCCTGCCAAACACAGAAAATGTTGGGCAGGCTAGGCAGGCAGAAAAGGAAAGGGAAGAACTGGTGGTCCCTGACAGGCAACTACTGCCTCTGCACTGTGCAGTGCTGGGAAGGCTGAAGGGAAA